GGGTGTATGTACGTACCTGTGCGTTGAGGTGTTGAAAGATGCTGGCGGTGACGGTATTTTTTTTGGATAAATAAAAGTTCACATCCAGCAACTTAGATATGTCTTTTTCTTTTGGAGATAACTGAATACATAAATATATAAAGAAATAAATATATAAATATATAAATAAATATATAAATAAATAAATATATAAATATGTTTGTTTGTTTGTTTGTTTGTTTGTTTGTTTGTTTATATACTATGTATTTTGTTTTAGTTGATTTAACTCGTTATATGTCTTTTTCTTTTGGAGACAACTAAAATACACAAAAATAAATAAATATAAAAAAATAAATATAAATAAATACATACATACACAGATAAATATAAGCAAACAAATAAATATAAATAAATAAATAAACAAACAAGCTATTTATTAAAATAAAAAAATATTTTCAAAAAAAAGAAAAAGAGAAAGAAAAGCACCAACCCGCCTGCGTGCCCCCCAAACCCAAAAACCCCAAAAAACCCAAAAAACCAAGGAAACAAAAAAAACAAAAAAAACAGAAAAAAAAAGAACAACAAGAATAACAAAAAGCAAAAATAAATACCTGTTCAGGGGGATAGGGAAAGTCTGGTGTTTGAAAGAAGTAAGTACGAAGCCAAAAAAAACCAAAAAAACAAAAAACAAAAAAAAAACAAAAAAAAACAAAAAACAAAAAACAAAAAAAACAAAAAAACAAAAAAAACAAAAACAAAAAAAACAAAAAGAAAATACAGATAAATACCTGTTCAGGGGGATAGGGAAAGTCTGGTGTTTGAAAGAAGTACGAAGTCAAAAAAAGCAAAAAAAACAAAAAAAAACAAAAAACAAAAAAAAACAAAGAACAACAAGAAAAACAAAAAGAAAAAAAATAAAAAACAAAAAATAAAGAACAAGAAGAATAAAATAAAAGTAAATACCTGTTCAGGGGGATAGGGAAAGTCTGGTGTTTGAAAGAAGTAAGTACGAAGACGTTCAAAGTTAGCATCAATACCGAAGACGGAGCCAGTACTTCTATAGCATTGCATGCGCATTTGTATTTTATGTGGTTGTGCATCCATATTAAGGAATTGTATTTCTAGTTTTCTTTCTGTATTATAATTTTGTTGAGCTCTTCTTGCTGTGAGTGAAGCTTTTGATAGAGCAAAGATTTCTCCTGTTTTTTCATCTATTTGTTGAATTTCAGGAAAATATTCAGTTCCTGATACTGCATGCAAAGCCCTTGCTGCTATCACTGCTTGTAAGTTATCAGCAATAGATAGAGGGTTTGCTGTGCGAAAATAAAATTCATTAAGTCCTAAATAATTATAATATTCATATAAATGTTTATCTACTGTTATATCTTTAAATAAATCACGAGATT